CAGTTTTTATACCTTAACCGACCGCTTGGGCATCAATAGCTTGGTCTAAGGAAGAAGAAAGCGCGGCCGCTTCCCTGCAAAGAGAGAGAAGTGAAATAATGCGGCAGTGCACGCGTGCAGTAGAGCAATGAGTTTCGCAAGACATGAAATGAGAGGGATACTGCTTTAAAATGCCACCAGGCTGGAGCACAGGCATCAAACTATCGATGGAAAACACTTTCTTTTTCACACTGTGTTTTTTTGCACGCTTTATTGCAGAAAACTCGTAACTGAAGTGCTTTTTTTACGTGGAAGCATTGAATTAAAACTTCTACAGCTACCTACAAAAATAATTACCATTCCTGCGCTGGCTGGTTCCACATTTGTTATGCAAACACTATTACATCATTTCTGGACACTGCCATGGTCGATAGATGTGATTTAGCGAATTACCGGGGGCTTGGCCACAGCTCCTGCTCTGGAGCGTCTCCTCCCGCGCAGCGCGCTCGCACGCGAGCCCTGCGCTCCCTGTTCGGCTGGGTTTCCTGAGGGCTGCTGTAACACTCGCTCTAGAAACAAAATATTTCTACTTCTAAGAGTTTAAAAGTGGCAAGCAGATCTTCCAAAACATGTAACTGACTTCAAAACCACTTGAAGTGATCGTGTGGCGTTGGGCTGTGTTTTCGCGCCGACAGGATATGCCCAGCTCGTATTTTCGGTCTTTCTCAGAGCAGGCGGCAGGAATGTTTTTTGGTTTTGAGCTGACAGCGCGCGTCCCGCAATGACTCGCTCCGGAGACCCGAGCTGCAGCACGCGCCAAAAATAAACGGCCCGGCGCGCTGTGGGAGAGCGGTGGGGTAGCTGCTCGAGCGTGGAGCCCGGGGAGGGCGGCTGGCACCGGGGAGCAGGGCCCCCCTCAGCAGCCAAGCGCCCCACGCCCTGTGAGGCAAAAAAAAGTGCTAATAAAAGGATTTTTACAAATCATGGGGTGTGGGTGAGGGAGAGAAGAGGCGGCCGAGAGAAGCCGGGCACCCTGCAGCAGCACTGCGGCGAGGGGATGTGAGGGGAGGCGAGGGGTTGTGAGGAGCAGTGAGGGGTCGTGAGGAGATGTGAGGGGTGGCAGGGCGTGCTGAGGGGATGTGAGGGGACATGGAGGGGACGTGCAGGGATGTGAGGGGTTGTGAGGGGTCATGAGGGACGTCGGGGGCGGTGAGGGGACATGGGGGGATGTGAGGGGTG